TTTATTATTAATAATAACAAAATTTTAACAATTAAATTTTAATGATAATTTCTTAACAATCCGAAAAAAAAACACTATTATATTATTAGTAAAAAGAAAGAAATATCTACCACCATAGCAAAATTATTTATAATTCAATTAAAAACCAATTTTATTTATTTTATTCTACTTAACGTATAACGTATTCACCTTAAAGACTAATCTATGTATTTATTTAAAATAAAATTAAGGAAGTACCTACCCCAACTGATCCCTTCGCGAATGACGATCTTGACTGTTACTTTTTTCTCTTTACTTTTTGTTTTATAAATATTTATTTGTAACTATTACATATTATAATTGTTACTGTACTTACAGCTAAAGCAATTTTATCCTTTTCGTAATTTTGAAGCCTTCGTTTATATTCTGCTACGTCTGCCAGTGCCTGTCTTAAAGGTTCGACCATCTTCTTATTCTCGGCCATTAAATCAGACACCTGTTTTGTCATTCTTTCATTTTGCTTCCTCAATAACTCCATTTGATCCTATTTAATATAAATAACACACTAACGTAACTACTTAGTTATTTAAAACGTTAAAATTAGAAATAGTTTTGTTCATATACTGAGGAAATAAAACTATTTACAATTTTTTAGTTTTGGCTATTACTAAATCTATTTTTTTTTCTTGAAAATCACCAATTTTTGACATGTTGGTCGTGTTTAAATATCAATTTTCGGTCATCGTAAAGCTATACAACGAAGTGGTACTGGATGTGGTCAAATGGTCGTCATCGAAATCGTTAGGTTAAAGGTTATGATATGAAGGAACCGCAGTGAGTAAAGTGCATTTTGAGCATAGTCCAGGTTTTAATGAGAGAAGTTTCTCTCGTTGGCTTGAGTAATGTTCTAGGCCCCATGGATTTTGGTATGTGTAATAAAATGGATGCGGTACTGATAAAACAGTACTGTATGAATGTAAATAAAAGTAAAACAAAAATACTGGTATGCAAGGGAAGAAAAAGTAGGTAAAGAGCAAATATAAAGATAGGGAACGAAAAATTAGAAGAAGTGGCTCATTTTAGGTATCTAGGAAGTCATATGTGTCAGGACGGAAGGAAACATGAACGGTGGGCGCGGCGGAAAAGAAAGTCTACGAAACGTTCGAAATGTGGTATTACAGGCGAATGATGAGGATACCGTGGATAGAGAAAGTTAGAAATGAAGAGGTATTAAAAATAATGGGAGAACATAGGACTCTATGGTAGTCAATAAGAAATAGACGAGATAGGTTGGTAGGACACCTTTTCAGGCATGAAGGTCTAGTCAGAGACATATTAGAGCCAGAAACAGGAGTTAGGAGGGGTAGAGGTAGACCTAGATTAGATTACTGTTAGCAAGTACTTAAGGATGTGGTTGTTTTAGTTTTAGAGTAATGCGAAGATTAGCTCAGGATAGGAAATAGTTAAGGTAGGCGTCCAACCAGTCTTAGGCTTGACGACCTTATGATGATGATGTGTATAGTATTGTGGCCAAGGGCTCAAATTAGATTATGGAATTTGGAGCAGCCATAATTAAAATATAAGTTCTGTGCACGAAGCAGTTTAGATTATGGTATAGGGGTTGTCATGATTAATATGTAAATGCTTTGCGCCATTGACAATGGTACCTACCTATCCGTACTTTATATATATAATTAAAATTCACTTTCATTTTAATGAAAAGAAGATACAAATTATTGCAAGTTTTGCTGTAAGTTCCTAAATCATGTTCAGAATTTTTCTCAAAATTGAAAGCAATGGAGAATTCAGTCACAATTTAATGATCAAATGTGTCCAATTAGAAGCAAATGAGCACGTAATAATTAAGATTATTTTTCCTGTAATTAACATGTATTAAAGTAATTAGCTGTAAATATATTTTTAATTTTTATAAAATTACTTTAATTGGGTATTTGTTTCTAGCATAAATAGTGCAATAAAATTAAATAGGATTCGTTTGTAGTCAATCAATGTCCAATATTGGCAGAATGGATATCAGACTAATTCAAAAAACCGTCCATGAAAAACAGATAAAATGTTGTATACAGGCTGACCCAAAAAGCACGAAATATGACCAACTATAAGTTTAATCGAAAAAAATTTAAACTTGTTCCCTATTTTAATACAAGGCCTTCTAATATTATCTAAAATAGAAAGAGGAAGGTTTCGTTTAAATGACAGACCTGTGAAACACAAAGTTTCACAATCCGATAGACGTAGGTACGGAGATACAAGGGAATGCAAATACACAACCATTTAGGTTTGAAGAAAAATTTACTCTAGTTAAGCTGCATTTAATTAAAATAAAAAAAATCATCGTAAAATTCCCAATGTCAATATAAGATTAAAAAAATTGAACATCGTCGCTGAATAAGATTTTCAATCTGAGTATTTTTTCTCTCTTCGATTTCTGTCAGTTCCATTCTGAATTTGAATATGTAAATTAGTTTAAGCTACCTACTTGTAACTTAAATTCAGAAAAATATGATTTTTAATCTTTAAACCGGGACGCAAGGACAAAAAAGTCAACGATTTCAGGCCACTAAACTTCATTTATGTTTGTTTTGAATGAAAACTATGCCAAGAATAGCATCCCTGACTGAGGAGTACGGTAGATAGGATTGAAAAATCGTAAAAAAATAACTGATATTTTCTGTGTATATAAAGTATAGAGATGTGCAAAAGATTTTTTAAAAATATTTAAATATAAATTTCAAATTTGTTATTTCAAATGTAAAATACAAAATATTATAGATTTCCCTTTTGTATTTTAAATGCTAAATGCAAGATACGTATTTTCGAAATTCCTTTATCAAATAAATAGTTTTTTGTAATACACCTATTTAATTTTCTACATTTACTATTTTTCTAGGTTTTCTATCTTTATGTTATAGTTTCTTCAGTTCAGCAACAAATAGTTATTCTGTATGCTTCCTTATTTGCCTTTGTCACCTGTTTTAATTAGAAAAAGACACTGATGCTAAACACAAAAACAAGAATTTTGGATTATAGGCATTAATCATCGTAAAAGCATCGTAAAATTCCCGTGGTTAATATAAGATAAAACAAAATTGAACATCGTCGCTATTCTTTGCATAGCCTGATAATTTGGCATTCTAAACAACTTTTTGTTATGACTTTTTTTGATTAGACCCATACATCAGAGAGCTATATTTTAAACGAAATCTTCTTTTTTCTGTTTTCGAACACTCTGTATAGTGAATAAAATTTAGATGCTTTTATTAAAATAACGAGCAAATTTTGTTCCAAAAATTTTTTCCATTAAACGTACAGTTTGACCCCAATAGGCATATAGCGTAGTTTTTTGGTCACCCTATAGAAGTAGTACTTATAAAAGTTTTTAACATACTTCGGATTTGTTAAGGGCAACTTTTAGACAATAATTAATCCAAACACCCTTACAAGAGAAAAATGCAAAGGACCCACAGCTTCTGCGCCCTTGGATCTTCAGTCCTGTGGAGTTTACGGTAGCCCTAACCTATTAATCTTAAGATTTGTAGATAATTATTACCATCGAATACTTTTCAATTTATAAAGCGCGTAAAATCGTGCTATTGGCTATTCCCATGATGAATAGTACATAATCACGTGTTTACTGCACAAAACATTAATGTCCGCATGTGTCCGTGCGTGTGTATGTTTGCATGTGTGTAAGGGGGGTACTCGAGTTATTTTTTAGAGACCCATATGGAACAACAAAAAACCCGAAGTAATTGGCATTAATTGAAATCGCTTATGCGTCGGTCGTTGAGAAATAATGTTCGACTTACTTACTTACTTATATGGTAATCGGTTACCTATTATACGCCGAGACGGGTTTATAAATGCCCAGGTATCAATGAGTAGTAAAAAATGATGAATATTATAAAAATTTGTTACCTTGAGGCTGCTTATTAGGGCTAAATTATTGAGCGTGATGTCGTTATAGTAGTTCTTCATCTCGGTGAACGCTTGATCGTGGTGCTGGATAAGATTCTCAATCTGAGTATTTTTTCTCTCTTCGATTTCTGTCAGTTCCATTCTAAGTTTGAATAGGTGAATTAGTTTTGGGTACTTCTAACTTAAATTTAGAATAATATGATCTTTAATCTTTAAACCGGGTAGGCAAGGAAGGACAAAAAAGTCAATGATTTCAGGCCATTAAACTTCATCTATGTTTGTTTGTTTCGATTGAGAACCATGCCAAAAATAGCATCCCTAGTTGCGGACCGAGGAGTGCGATAGGATTGAAATGTCGTAAAAAATAAGTTAGAAAAATGAAGTGAGATAGGCTGAAATTTTCTGTCTATATTTTACCGGAAATGTATGAAATCCGTCATTGTATACAATTCCTAGGAAATATATTGTTACGATGTTGGCATCGTATTGCCGGAAAGTATGACGCGATTTGTTGCCAAGATGGCACACGTGCCTATATGAGGGCTTGCNGCGTGGAATTATGCTACTACCAGAAAGATGGCAAAAGGTGTTGGACCAGAACGGTCAATATATAATTTAATAAAGTATTTGTTTATTATACGAAAACTGTCTTTCATTTCCACAAAAAAAAAAAACGAAATGACTTTCCGAACAACCCTATATAATTGTAGTTTTAAGAAAGATAGCGTTAACTATAAAACAATTACTATGAAATTGATGTTTAACACTTTTAAATGACCAGTCTTAACTTTAACACTACCAGCTGTAAAACGGACGGATTGATTCTTGACATGGCCTTTGACTTGATTGATTTTAACTCAGGATATCGTTTGAAATATCTTTCCAGATTGCTGCACCGTATCTCACCGTAATTTAAAGCCTACGCTTTATTTTAATGTGTTACTATTTCAAGCAAACCATATTTAAGAAACGTGTTAAAATATTTAATGATTTCTATTATCTGGGAAGTTTCTACGTAGCGAAATCGCCACGTGAGGGCTCACAGTTTTTATATTTTCATGTCGAACAAGTTTAAGGGATGCAATGGCAAGAGAATGAATGTATTTGATCTAGCTTAGATATAAAAAAAGTCATTTAAACGACTGCCTAAATATTATTGTATGCATATGTATTTGTTAATAGGTACAAGATCGATTAGAATAGACCAAATGGACAATTTATAAGGGTCATTTTCTTAATTCGTTTACAGTGCTGTCAATATCTTCTTTGTATCTGACATATAGTAAAATTTAGCTTAATACGTTAAAAATGTGTTTTTATAAATTTGTATCAATTTTCATCAAAGGACTATATTATGAAAAAATTTCAAAAAACAATCCAACATCTTGTTGGCTTCAAAACTGCAGGTCCGAAATAATTTTTTTAATTTTCACTGATGTTTACAATGCGCTCTATTTTTGTGTGAATTATTTGATATTTTTCGACCTATAAATTTTAGAAACAAGGTGGGAATACTATTTTTGGTATTTTCTTCTTCGTAAACTAAATTAATTATTTTCTTAAGTTTATTTGCTTTACTTGCAGCACTTGACTACATACATGCGTCGTGGTTCCCGGCGTCACTATGGAAGTCGAAAAGAAATAGACCAGATAGGTTGGTAGGTCACCTTGTCATGCATGATGGGCTAGTTGGAGGCACATTTCAGAAGCAGAAACAGTGGTTAAGAAAAGTAGAGGTAGACCTAGATTAGATTACTGTTCGCAAATAGTTAAGGATGTGGGTTGTTCTACTTTTAGGGAAATGCAAAGATTAGTTCAAGATAGAGAAGAGTAGAGGTGCGTTTCCAGTCAGTCATAGGACTTACGACCACATAATGATGATGATGATTCATTATTAGTGCTTTATCAAACACGTTAGATTAGAACTGCCTAAATGAAGTTGCTTCATAATAAAGAAAATCCACTTTAAAAGTATAAATAGTACCTACAGGGGTGATGGGGTATAAATATAGGGTTGTTCGGAAAGTCATTTCGTTTTTTCCCGACAGAGGATTTAATTGTATTCTTTTGCACCCAACTTTACATTTAAGTCGTATAATTTTTATATGCTTTGAGAGCTCATATAGCAAGGCTTGTGTGTGAAAAATTCCAATTAATTCTACGCAGTAGTTTTTGGTTGGTGCCCTTTTAAATATGGAGAGCGATAAGCAGCATTTTCGA